TTTTGTTGAAAGTGTTTTATTATGGTAAAACGTTGATATGCTTTTGGAATACGGGGATACAGATATACGGGGAATGCAGAAAAAATTCTCGACAGGCTCGTGCATTGTATATAGCCCGCTATCTGGGAAGTCGCCTTCCTGCACATTCCTTTTTTAGAAAGCTGGTATTAAAAATGGGAAAACCACAAAATCATCGACATGATAATTTTATTATAAGTGAAGAAAAGGAAATCAATGTTATGGGATACGTCAATGTAAATCCTGCTGCGTCACTAAGAGAACTGGCATTAGAATTAGATATCTCAAGAGAATCTGTAAGGATAATTTTAAAAAAGCTAACTTTGTAAGAAGACTTCGATATTGCAATTGGCTGTTAGATAAACATGGCGAGAATAATAATTTCTAACTAAAACTAACCGACAGAACAACAGGTCTGCTTTGGTCTTTAAATAATCAAAAAATTATTCGTCCTGGACCTGTTTTTTTTTCTCTGATGCCTTAACGGATGCAATTGAAGACTCGTGAAATGATTTACCTCTTGCCCCAGCCGGATGACGCGCCTCCCCATAATTCTAGAAATGTCACTGAACACCTATGTGATGTTTATGGGGATAGACTGATCTAAACACACGGTCCAGTCAATTGTTCACTGGACTTGCCACCGTTAGATTTTTTTGTTTGGAGGTACGTAAAAGACCGTGTTTATGTAACTCCAGTGTTCGACCTACAAGAATTACAGCGATATCTGCTGTATTTGATAGTATAATGTCAGAAAGAGTTACGGCGACTGTAATTTCTAGAGTCAGGGAGTGTCATATACAAAAAGGACGACATTTTGAAAACATTCCATGAAAATTTCTTGTTAAAATAAATTGGTAATTAAGTAAATATCTATCGCAGTTATTTAATTCAAATAAATACAAAACTCCGAAATAAATGAATGTGATGTTTTGAGTCAATGAAAAACTTGTCTTTCAGTAATACCACTTCCAAATCGATTCTAACGACATTGTTGACGTTTCATTTTCTAAAAGATTGTCAAAATATTGTGTTGCATTATTCCAAAAAGTGACAGATTTGAAAAGAAAAAAAAATATTCTATTGTTCTTCTGAGTTTCCGGAAAAAAGTGCTTGTAGCTTATGACGTACGTATACACACAATACTTACGTTAGTTTTTGACTGTATTATGCGTTTTTAATCTTACCGACTTGACAATTAATAATGAATAGAAGCAAAGCCACCTAAGTAATTTTTTGTTTTTATAGGAATGTATTTATTTATCTGTTTTTTCCCTTCCTTTGGTGTCAAAATGTTTTAAAAAGTTTTTGTTCCCACTAGGGTGCTATTTGAAAAAAACTAGGTTATCCTAAAAGTTTCTTTAACAATTTTTCCCATGATCAGGCGACCCGGTAAATAGTATTTATGATGGTCACAGCCTCTTAGACACAATTTTCAAAAATTAAACAAAAAAAAAGAAAAAAAAATCCTATCCTACGTAGAATGATCTGAATCCTGAATCAAAAAATCTATGTTGCCCCATCAAAAATTCGAAAGTTGCTGTAGTTTCCACTCAAACCGGAAATGCAACCATTGATTGCATATTGTCAAAAAATTGGACATTCAGCCTACATTAACCCTTCGCTATCTCAAGCCGTTTGAAAGTTATACAGCGTTCTCCCTTTTTTGTGTTACCCGGTATAGTTTAAAAACAGTTAATTTTGTGATCGATAAAGGTTTGGTTTCTTTTCTCCTTTGCGGGGTTATTCACGCCATACAGCACGGAATAGAAAATTTTCATAAATTTTGCTTCTAATAAAATTACTTTCACACTGTACAGAACGTCCTAAAAGTGTTACAAGGAATAAAGTTTTCCACGCGGCACAATGGTTCAGAATGACTTCGGAAAATTTATTATCAAAATATTAAGACTTTTTGCTTACTAAAGCAATATTATGCATGTAGTAGGGTTCCAGAACATGTGAAAAAGGTATTCCAACCAACAGGGTGTTTATTCGAAGGTTTTTAGTCTTTATTGTAGAAAAAATTATATTTCATTTCATGCTTACGAATCTAAGGCTTTTCAAAGCTCTTTCAGAATTAATTCAGAATGTTTAGAAAATACATGACCTGTCACACTTATCATGCAAAATGTACCCAAAATCTAAAGGCCCCCACAGACGCTCAGTTTTTTAACACAGGCCAACTGTGCAGGCCAAATTGTGCAGTTTAACTGTAGTATTGCCTGTCCCACACACACGCAGTTTGATAGCACAGTTCTTTCTATACAGCCAACCGGGTAAATTCACACTCATTAGTTTTGGCACGGTTTTTCTAGACTTAGTAAAAGAAAATGGCTTCTCGAGACACGCAATTATATTGCATTGTGCTTGCCTGTGCAATAAATAAAAAGCAAAAAAAGCAACGGTTGGTTCAAAGAAGCAAATGGACCAAAGATTGGTTACTCAAAAGAAATGATTACTCCCATGTCAATTTGCTTGCTGATTTGAAACTTGAGAAGCAGGATTGGTTTAACCACCTAAGAATGAACGAGACAACCTACTTGAAATTATTGAAACTCGTTTCTCCTTTAATACGAAAGCAAGACACATGCATGAGACAATCAATTTCATTCCGTGAGCGGTTAACAGCTATTTTTTAAACCACGGCTTCCCTATTTGCTCCCGTATCAACTTCTTTGAGTTTTTCGACCAACACATCATAGGCTGCGGACTTTTTATTTCTGTCACTATATTCTTTACTCTTTATTTTCCATAAACATGGTAAGCTTGTATACCTCAGTAAATTCGCTTAAAAACTGTTTGTTAACATTTGTCATTTTGTTGCTTACTATTTTTGGATTCTAAATAAACCTTAAAACTGAACAAATCAACTGAACGAGTTCCACACACGCTCAGGTTTCCAAGTTTGCGCAGGCTAAATTCAAGCACGGTCTGATTTTGCTCAGGCCAGGCCAACGGCCTGCGCAGTCGGCCGGACGTTCATACAAACGCACCGATATGCCTGCACAAACTAGGTTTGCACAGGCAGCCTGTATTAAAAAACTGAGCGTCTGTGGGGGCCTTAAGGGTCGTAGAAAAGCGTTTGGTAAACTTATTAAGTCACTCGTGACTCAAATGCCGTTTGCCGCACAATATACTATTTTTGATACCTAAATCTTAAGGTTTTTCAAATAATTTGTGAAGATACAATCTTATTTTAATTTCATAAAAAGCATTTAAATTATATTATGTTTTATTTCCATTAGCGAATCATCCCATCTTATACATGGTGGCCAAAAATTTATCCCGATCTATTGACAACTTTAAGAGGCTCTCACTTGATTAATTTAAACGGAATTTACTTTCCAATTACCTATCGAATTGTTTTAGGGTGCCCTAAACCTAAATAAAACATAAACATTCCTTGGTAAGATACTGTACCTATTTTACTGTAGATTTCGCTTACATAGCTTAAATAACTTCTAATGTATTTGAGAAATTAGAATAGGAATCACCGAGGGGAAAATCACTATCCAAAATGGGTATACCAGATTTCACACAAAATCGATGATTCCACAAATTAAACAAAGATTTTACCGTTTTCAGATTTCACGGATTCTACAAAGATTTCACATATTTCTAAGTTATTTTCCAGATATCGATGATTTTGAAAAATACTTTGTCGCAATACTAAGTCGTAATTAAAAATTCATTGGGTAAAAATAATATATACAAAAATCAATTAAAACTGTTTTTCAAAAGGTGGGAAAGAGTATTGTGATTATAAATTCCACAAAATATCAAAACGGACATAAATATGATATTTTTGAAATATTTTTTTATAAGCATTTTTTTCATAGAAAAGGGCATGCTTGACACATTTAGTTGGGAACTTCGATGGTAATTCTTAATTTTCTATCGTTAAAAACTTAATTTCTTTATTATTTGAACTAATGGAAAATAATAAAAACTCAAAATTTTAGAAATAATTTATGATTTCACCAAGTTTTTACGGATTTCACAGATAACAAAGATTTCACAGACCTGCTATACCAGATTTCACGAACATCACTGAAACACAAACTTATTTTGCTAGTGGAATCCAACAATTCCATAAAAACACATATTTAACACTTTTAACAGTTTTGGACAACCTGTATAGTATGAATGTAATTTTAAAAAGTTACCATAATAGGACTTTACACATCCCAAAAGTGACCCTCTTTACCTTTTTGCAAAACGATATGATCCTTGATGCAAAAAAAAGAAGTGCTTATTGATAATTATTTACTCTTTGTACTATTTAGATTTATTTTATAAAACCTTAATAAGAATAAACAAAAAATATCCGATACGGTCCTGTTCATTCGTCTCATTTAAAATCTTTTTGTAAACATTTTGTAATATGTCACAAGCCGACATCATTTATATAAATTGTGCTTACATTATTTATGGCATAATATGATCTATGGTACGCCGAAAGTGGTATTCTCGCGAATATTTTTAACCTTATTTAATAGACGGTGTATTGTCCTTTCTGCACGCACCTGCAGGGTGAAAAAAAAAAGGAACAAGGCAAAAGCATTGGATTAGAGTAATGAAATAATTCCAGAACTTTTCCAGGTCGCGGATTCTAAATAAAAGTATTAAAATTTTTAATTGACACTTTACCAATAATATACGAAATATTCCAACATTACTTCGGTGTAAAATATACATTTTCCATTAGAAAAGCATCCATCCAAAGCAGAATCCAACGATAGAATTCCGATAGTGTATAGACGGCTTTTTTATTGAAAATTACCTCCCCTAACGCCCCGCCCCCTAACGACTGATTTAATGGATTTTATTTTTCACACAAAATGCGTAAATCTGAGTAAAAACTTCGCAAGAAAACGAACCGGTCGGGCAAGCAAAGCGAGCGAAAAACTTGGCGAGCGTTCAAACGACCCATTTTTCGTCCGCGCCGGAAAAATGTCTCTAAAAACCAGCAGCCATCGTTGCAATCGAAACCAGTCCGCCGACACGGGCGTGTTACCTCCGCGGCGTTTAAAAAAATTCAAATCGCGCGCGCAGCCATGGAAAAAGCCCAGCCGACAGTCTCCTGTCTTCCTCACAACGCGAAAATGTCGAAGGCGAAGAAAGTCCTGGAGGAAGCGAGAGAGATCCAGAATCCCGAGCTGGACCTCTTCGACAAAGGCGTGGCCACGTTCGAGGAAATGCCCGGATTACGTGAGTCGCGTTTTTTTTGTTAGTAGCCGCTCACTCGTTTTTACCTAATTTGGTTTTGGCATCGTCGTCGATCGCCAAGTTTTGGGCGGATCCTGGTGTATAGGCAACTCATTGTGCAGCCCAGTACAGGTGAAGCGTTTTCATTGCTTGTTCTGTGCCCGACGAGTATATCTGGTTGCATACGCTTTTTCAACAAATAAAATTTAGCAAAATTTTCGCTTAGAGTTAGTAATATGTTTCCTAATTTCAGTGAACATGACCTACGTTACCAGACTGACGTTGAGCCACAACAAATTGAAAAGTAAATCACGCGAAAAAATAAAATTGTTGGTTTATTTTCCACATGTTTTTAGCTGTCCCACCGGGCTTGGCGAATTTAACAAACTTGGAGATACTCAATTTAGCCAATAATCAAATAGAAGAACTACCTCTTTCTTTATCGTCGATGCCGAGGTTGAGAATATTGAATTTATCAATCAACCGACTGTACAATCTTCCAAGAGGGTTTGGAGCTTTTCCGGTCCTAGAAATCCTGGACCTGACCTACAATAACCTCAAGGAAGACTCTTTACCGGGAAATTTCTTTATGATGGGTGAGATTTTCTTAAATACTTTTTAAAACCAAGCATAACCAAGCATTTTTTAGAAACATTAAGAGCATTATATTTGGGTGATAATGATTTCGAAACGCTGCCGCCGGAAATAAAAAACCTCAAAAATTTGGAAATTGTAAGTGACCAAAATTAGGAACATTCATAGACGGCTGCTAAATTTTCATATTTCAGTTAGGTTTAAGAGAAAATGACCTTGTCGAATTGCCAAGAGAGATTGGCGAATTGACCAGACTCAGAGAACTGCATGTTCAAGGTAATCGAAAGATCAGGGAGTGGGAGGTATATTGACTGTACCATTTTTGTAGGCAACCGTTTGACAATTTTACCCCCTGAGCTGGGCAACTTGGACATGTCCTCCAATAAAGCGGCGTTCAGATTTGAGGGCAATGAATGGGTTCAACCCATAGCGGACCAGCTACAGCTGGGTATTAACCATCTCCAGGACTATTTAAGAAGCGAAACTTACCGAATGTGAGTTTTCAAGGGTTTTAAAAAATGTAGATCTGATATAATTTTAATCCTTTTTTTAGTCTTTATAACAGATACTTGACCAACAAACCACCTATACCACCTCCATGTGTGGACAAAGCTAAGAAGATTTCGAGAATCCGTTAGGGGTAAGAGACATCCCTAAAATGCAAAATGTGCCTTAAAAATTGGTGCCATTTAATAAGAGGTGCAATCTTTTTTACTTTCTATTATTAGTTACTTATTGTTAACAATTAACCCTATTAAATTTTAAAAAATATTTTTATATAATTTTAAAGCTAAATTCATAATTCTTTAATTAAAAAAAAAAACGTTTATTAAAGATGTGCCTACTTACATTCTGTAAAGACAGTAGTTCAAATGTTAAATGTATTAAGATGGTGAAGAAGTGTATGTTAATTATATTATTTTTTGTATTGTAATTTATTAAAAGCAAATTTAATGGATGTATTTTTTAATACCTACTCAAAAAATATAATTGCTATTTTTAAAATCTAATTGCTGGAGGAATCTATCACTACAAAACTATTATTAAGATGTAATGACCTGTCAAAATTCGCGATATGTCGTTGACTAAAAAAAGTCCAGCACTGAAAAATGGAGCTCCGAAAAATAACCTGGAAGCAATTCCAAACAAAAAGGAACAGATATTGAATGAAAATATCTTGCTGAAAAGGCAAAATCTGGACCTGAGGCTGCAAAATGAAGACTTAATCAGGACGGTGACTAGCGCCAAAGATAAGTTTGCGCATGACTTGGAACGACTGCAACTTCAAATTCACTTAAACCATTCGGATTTGTTGGAGAACAGCAAAAAATGCTTGGAGTTACAGCAATCCTATATAAATGAGGTAATATTAACCTTAACAACCCGGAAATCCGAAAAAAAACTACTGACAACTGCAGATTGAGGAGCTAAAACAACAAGTGGAAACCCTTAAGCAGATGAAAGAAAACTCTGATAACAAAATAAAAAGTTTGGAAAGTCAATTGGACCATTTCAAACTAAATTATCAACAAATGAAAACAGAAAAAAACGACATCTTTCAAAAAGTAGTGAAATATAAAGTAAAATTGAAACGTGCCATTAAAATAATATCTGAATTAAGCAATGGAGTCCCATACACCACAAAACCTCTGCAAACCACAGAGATGAATGTTTCTAAATCACCCGCGTATAAACAATAAATATAATTAAGCATTTTCCACAGTAACCAATAATTTTGTGTTTTAGACTTACCGAGAAGAGGGACTGCTCCCAGCGCGGTACCACTGACGAAAACATTTTGCTGTCGGACGTATTTTTTAAACCTGCATTACTCTGCGACAGCGAATTGGCACTTTTTAATTGCAATTGAGTATACTTATAGAAAATGTTTTAAGGCTTTGTGTGCATTTTTTTCGGTATTATTGAGAATTCCACCTTACTCAAAGTTTTTGTAAAAAAAAGACAACTTACCTGTTGAATCTTGAAGAAAACGTAACACTATTGAGCTGTTTCTTCACTTCAGATTGCAACACTTAAACACTTTTAATTTCGATCTCAAGTTTAAGAGGGTGAGCGCAAATTAGGTAAAAATTCAAATGGCGCTAACACCAACCTAAAGAAAACTTTCATTTTATTGTGAAGCACAGGTTGTCCAACCTAATTATTTAGAACCGGACCACTTTAATATCACAGACCAAAAAGTGTCTTCTTTTAAACGAGATGGCCATAATCGACTCGCGTTATGTGTGTTGCCTAATGATCATATTAAAATACTTGGAGGTTACTGCTAAGCAATGAATGAAAGACTCGTTCCATTATTGCTTAAAATAAAATGCCAACAGAATGATTAATGGCCAATTAAAGCGATAAGCAGTACCCGATAGTTAACAAATATGTTGAATAGAGCCCGCATGTGACAGTCTGTCAAAATTCCACGGCTAACTTCATTTTTATTACTTTTAAGTTGGAAATAAATATTTTTTAAGTTTTTAAGTTTTAATTATTAACCAGGCTTTGCTCGAAATGCCTGGGCTATTCGTCGTGTGAAAGTGATCGCGCGGGGGCGATGCAAATTTTCACGGAGTTTAAAAGGCCGCAAAAACTGCGTGTGGTGAACTCCAGCGTACTATGTAACTAAACGACCTCCAAAGTGTGATAGATAACCGCTGACTGCTTGGAAGTATGGGTCAGGTGTCTAGCGCCGTTATAGGTGAGTTGGTTTTGAATAACATTATCCCGTTCTGTACTTTGAGCATTTTTGAGGTTAGGATTGGGCTCATTAATTAGACAGGCCAAAGGTTTTTAAAACAAGGCCGATAAAATTAAGTAATTATTCCGGACTGTTTCAGATCTCGTTAAATGAATTGGGAAATGACTTTTCTGTTATAAGAATTTAGTAATCCACTAGTAGTGGTGTAAGAATAGAGGGATAGTAGGTAATTGGTTATCTTGAATTTTATAATAACAATGGATGTAATACAGACACTTCGCAAAATCCGGTGAACTTGCGTAAAAATAGAAGGAAAATCGGGTAAACTGTCAAGCAAAAATTCGTCGATGGAGCGATAACCGGGCGAGCAGATAGGCACGTGTCCGAAGCGCCAGCTGCACGTGCCTCCCTTCCCTCGACCCCCGTACGCACGCACGCCCTTAACAATCGAACAATCGGAAAGATCGTACACACCGGGTCCTCCGAGACCGACGACTTTTACCGAAAAACAAACAAATACCCGCACACACACGTATCGGTGAGCAAATAGACTCCCAGACGACAAAAAAAGGCATTGTGTTTTTCTTAGGCCTTTGTTTTTTTGTAATGGTTTGTTTTTTGTGGGGAGGCAAAGGGGGTCAAGGTACTTTACTGGACTTCGGAAGGGATAAACGAATTTTCCGCGCAAACTTTCGGCTGCAGTCCCAAACATTTATCCACCAAAAGGAAGCACAGAAAAGTATCGCCCATGTGGTCTCGTGGAGGCGCCCCACACTTACAATTACAGTTGAGGGGAACGGGCGCTCTGTAACTACTCGTACGATATTGGCCCATTCTTTTAATTCGAAACACGATAATTATGTATAATTGGGCGAGACATGTGGTCGAATAATGGGCCCACCGCGTTGGTAGCACGTGCCTAGCCTGCGACGACACCTACTGGGTGGAAAAAGTATATTCGCGACCCGCGACAATTTTTCCTTTACTTTCAACCAATTGAATATAATTTAATTAACTAATTGAATCTAATTTAATTGTTTTGTAACGCGTCAGCGCGCGCATGCGGGAAAGATGTCGCAGCCGAAAGGAAAAGGAAGTGAAATTATATTGCGCGATAAAGTTTTTGGTATAGGGGAGCCGAGTGTTCTATTATGATATCGCGCCGCCGTCATATTAGTGCCGGGGGGCGGATATCGATGGGAAAAATGACGAGGAGGTGGTCCTGGTTCTTTTGTGATACAACGGTTTTGCTCAATTTTAACGGTTTCTTTTTCGGCGCTCAACGGAGACGACGTTTGATTAAAAACATCCTCCTGAGACGCGGGCGTGCACCTTATCATTTAATTATCCCCACAATCACCTTAAAGACCGTCAATTATCCAATTGACTTAAGTGGCGTGGGTCAAAGGTCGACCAGCGCGACCCGCCGACCTCCTTCCATTCACGGGTTGTAGAAACTTACATTGTTGCCCGCTGCCGAGTCCGATTGCGACGCATGATTTTTACTTGAAATTCTCCTTCAAAAGACACCAAGTGGTTCAAGAGACTAAGTGGTCGGTGTTGGTCTTTGGAAATGACTCCCACGTTCATAATGTCAAAAACAAAATGATCATGAAAATTCCTATGACACTCCTATACCATACTCGGATACATCGAAATGTTTAGGATTGATCTTGGACTCTAGGCTGCGGTTCAAGGATCACATTACAAACAAATCTAAAGTTAATATACGGTCATATATATTTAATACCAATTATTATTGTTCTGTCGCAGTTCAACCATTGCTGTCGTGTGTACGCAACCTACCTGAACTTTGCTGACCAATATCGTATCCAGAAAATACAAAATTCATGTTTGCGACTTGTTGGAGTTCGCCGACAGGATGATATTTCTCCATACTTGTTTCGGGTCGGCTTAACACGTGCAATAGGTTTAGGTTACACCGTGCTACATTCTATTTTAAATTAATTAAGTATAAGTCTCTTGAATATATTTTTAACAAAATCACTTGTCGTACAGATATTCATAACTTGAATCTAAGAAAATTTTATATTGAGAATACCATTGCAGTGCATTGCGTGGTTTTCCTCTCTATTGTTATGACAGATACGAGAAACGTTATCTAATGTCGTCTTCAAATGATTCTGTACAATTTCAAATAAAAAATAAATATAATAAATAAATAAAAATAAAAACGGCAAACAATTACAGTAAAACTCACTCATAACTTACCCGCTTATTACGAACCAACGTACCATGTGAAAAGTCCCGACAATCCTTCTGAAGCATTCAATAGCAACACAGTTTTTATGACGTACTCAGTTATTACGTACTTCTGATACAAAGTACAAAATTTCCGAGTCCCAACCGTCGAAAATGGCATTATAATAACGTACTTTAAATATCGGTATAGGTAAAGTCTGTTCATAGATATAAGAAAGTGACTAACTGATACGAATTAAGGAAAGACCCGGGCAAGCTATAAGAATGAAATATGGCCGAACAGGTCCATACTTTGCTTAGAATTTAATTATTTGGGGTTTTATGAGGAAAGATACTAAACAATAATTATTTATTAATTACTTAAATTACTTCAATTTATTCTCATAATATATCAGTATCACTATCTAATTATTTTTATTACCTGCTTAAATTACTTAAATTTTTTCACATAATGTAGCAGTATCACTATCTAATTATTATTTGTTCTATATTATTTGCAATGTGGATATACGATTGTTCTGCTTTTTTAACAGATTTTGCCCAACTTTGTGGAGAGATGTTAAAAACTTCGGTTTCTATAAGTTTGAGGACATTGAAGTTAACACGGGGAAAAACATTGTTACGACGAATGGCAGATTTCAGTTGGTGCCAAACATGTTCAATGGGATTAAATATACAGTGGTAAGGTGGCCTTAAAACTGTATGCCCTAGTTTTTTTTGCATAATTATCACAGACGTATTCCTTTTGTAGGTTCAAGTTTGGTAGAACCTCAATTAATTGCTTTTTGGTATAATCTTCGTGAAAATCAATGTTCGTTATTATACATGCAGTTTTGGATTATTGCTTTTATATCACATGAGGAAGGGGTTTTAGTCAACTGTCTACTGTGATAACTTGCATTGTCCATTACAATGACGCTATTAGGAGGAATGTTTGGAACTAGTTTGTTTTTAAACCAACTTTCAAATAAATCAGCGGTGGTGTCGTCATGGTAATCCAGAGAAGAATTTTTAATATTTTTCGCTGACAGAGAAAGTCCATTTGGAATCCAACCATCTTTAGAGCCAGCATGCAAAATAGTTATTCTTTTACCTCTTTTTGATGGCGCGTTTGTTTTACACTTATCAGTTGAGTCAACCCAACCCTTTTCCGGGGTATCATAAGTGTCGAACCAGGTTTCATCCAAGTAAATAATTGGCCTTTGTTGTTCTCTGTAACTCCTAATTTTTTCTAGATATTCCAGTCGCCATTTCCGAATTCTAAAAGATTCCATTAAAACTTGCCTTTTGTCATTTTTTTTAAATCTAAAACCCATGTGTTGAATACACTTCCATAAGGTAGTTCTGCCACATTTAACACCGATTTCATCTTTTTTAAGCCTCCTAATTAATATATCTAATGTAGGCATGCTTTGTTCCTCGTATAACTGGTAAATTTTACGCCGTATTGTATCATGATCACTTTCATCTACACTCGAGAAAATGTCAGCATCGCTTCTTTTGTTCCTCGCTGAAATGGGATTATTCATCATTTTCCATACAGTTAATGTTGGAATTTTCGTCAATGTGGCCGTTTCTTCTAAAGATACTTGCTTGCTGACACCACGTTCAATGAGAGTCAAATAAACATTGTTTATAAGTTCCTTAGTCTCAATAGAATAGTGTTTCCTACATTTGGCGGGAGCATCTCCTGAGATACACTAGACTCGCACATATTTTGCATAATTCGCACACGATTCAACACACGAAATAAAAATGATTACTAATAAATTTAAGCTAAGAAGTATACCAAACCAAAGAATATTAAACACAGGTAGGTATGAAATTATTTTCTATTACGGACCACAATTTTACCTGAATTTAAATTCCGAAACTTTAGGTAATAATCTTGTTGCATTGTACGTTCAAAAGCAATTGGTCACTTTCTTATATCTATGATCAGACCATATTATCCACTAATCGACCCAAGTTAGTTCCGCTGAAATGGTTCGCAGAGCTTTAACAACAGACGAAAAAATGTCTATAATACAAAAAATAGACGAAAAATCGTCACTGGCCAGGGCAAGTTCGTAGCACGTAGCGCGAAACAGCTTTTTATTGTAAAAGGAAAGAATTACGCGGTTTCGTGTGGTAAACGGACGCATTGTTTTTCTATCGTGCTCCCGCGGACCACTACGGAACTTTCGCAAAATCGATGTAATTTAATTGTGCATGCACCCTCTATGAAATGTCCTTCACATCTCGTCGAACTTCAAAGTTACAGCAAACATTGGTAAATACTATAATTTGCACAAATAATAGCGCTGTCGAATGATATTTTTTCAAATATCTCGCACCCTCTATAATTGACGAAACCTGAAACTCTCTCACGACACGGTTTACAATACTGTTCAAATAAAATTATCCCATCTTTTACGGTTTTTCATTTATCACCATTAATTTATCCACATAAACGAAAATTTTTAGGATATTTTAGATTTTTTGCCCATAAACGACACACCCTGCATATGATACAATCATTGTTCGAAGTAGAGGTTATAGCCCTGGATTTTCCGCGGGTCCTGGTTCAAGAATTTTTTGAAAGTAGTGGTTTTCGAGAAAATAAAGTTTTTCTGAAACCATGCAGTGCGCCCGAAATAACGATTTCAATATGGATTTTTTCAAATATCCCGAGCAGCGTATGTGATAGACGAAAACTGCAAATACAAAAATTGTAACTCTTGATGCGGCCTATGACACCGTTTGAACCAATTAGCCATATTTTTTACGATTTTTGA